AGGCACATTTTTATATCTCAGCCCTTGCTCCAGGCTACCTTCTGGTAAGATTTTACAGCAACTATTAACTTGAGAAATGTTTTCATATAATGATGGAGAACTGCTAGAAATAAGAGTATGACTGTTATAATGAAAAGTGGCGCCTTTTCAATTAGCGGCTGCTGTAGCTGGTTGTGTAGTTCACAGATCAGAATTACTTAGAGATCTGAAAGTAATTAATTGTATTTTTTTAGCTACTAACCCTTGCTGGGCCAGGGAGAACATGAAATGATACTACAGCTTGTGGATATACTGGATGGCTCTGATTTAGAGCATTGTCTCACAACGGCTGCGTGCAAAGGGTTTTAAACAGTCTAGTATCATCTTGGTGCAGTGCTCAGCAGATGCCTATGACTAGTTGGCAGCAGGGGCTACCTGTGGGTCACTGATCGTTGCTAATTTTTTTCCTGCACTCTGCTCCCAGCTGGGCACCTGAACCAGCAAGAGAAAACAGGGAGAGTGGCTCTCGCCACCTGTGTGTGCTCTTTGCTCTGATCCTACAGCTGGGTGTGGGGAGTGGGGTCTGGCCCCCTTGCTTTTGGGCATGCCTGGGAGCAGGAAAGGCCCTGTTTGAATCACACTGGCAATTCAGTATCAGGACAAAGCCCCAAACTGATAGTTGTTCTGGTGTGCCTCGGCTTTTTGCAGACACTCAGTACATCCACTGTGCTGAGTTCAAAGGGCCGATCACAGGGGATGCTTGCTATAAAAAGCTTTCCCTCATCCTCCAGGCTTAGGGGGATTCTAGGAATTCATGGTTCATGAGATATGTGGCTGTGGTGTCCATTTTTAGTGACCTTAAATGAAATTAAGGGCAACATGGAACATGTTTGTCAAAACACTAGTGACAATGACACTCCTGCAAGACCACGGGGTCAGCTTTCCTCGGGCAAACACAAGCAGGGCCAGCCACTGTGTCTGAAAGGTGAGGTAACGTCCCCTATGCCGCAGAAGCAGCTGCAGGTGCCCCAGGGTGCTCCAGCTGGGAGAGGTGCTTTGGGTGGTGGCAGGAGCTATTTGGGGTAGGCTTCTGGCTTCACACAAGTCCTGTAGGCTTCGTTCTGGTGAGGGAAGGCTGGTGCTGCAGCCTTGGATGAGTGTCCATGCAGTGTGGAGGGTGAATGGGTGATACTGAATAGTGACAGAAGATGACCAAAACAGGCAGGATGACTCGGGGCGTAGGAGACCCTTCCGCTCATGCACCAGGAGCTACCTCTATCCGTGCAGGCATGAAAGCTCCCATTGCTCCTGCCCACTGCTGTCCTCACCTGCCCTGCCAGGTGAGCTCAATTTGCAGCCATTGCCTGTCTGCTTTGTACCAACCAAAGAGAGCATTCGGGACTGGAAGACCTCCATTCAAAGCCCACCCTGGCCCAAAGGAGGTTCATATCCCCTGTGCAAGAGTTTATGAGTCAGCTTTGCAAGAGTTTTGCAAGAGTCAGTGAGGGTTTTATCTCATTGAAAATGTGCCACTGAGAACACGGGTTGTTGGGCCAGAAAGAGAGTAACCCAGCAGAAGCCTGGCTGTGCTGTCTGCTGGTCATGGTGCTTTGCCCTGAGATGGGAGAGCTCAGTACTGAGTCCTGCCTGAACCCACAACCTCTGCCGCAGAGCTGGAGAATCTCACTACATTTTTATGTTTTCTCCATGCTAATTCCCACTGGTTTCCTATGCTTTTCAGGGCACGCATATAGGCTAAAGTGGATTTGGTGATGGTTTTGCAGTGTGGTCCTGGAAGCCTGTGGCACAGCCCTGCTCTGCGGAAGGGGGAAGGGTGTGTGAGCCTATGCTGGCCATGCCTTGCTGCCAGTCCTCGGTCTGTGCTGCCCAAGCAAGAGTTGCATAGGTGCAGTGTACCCTTGCGCAGCCTGCTTCTCCTCAGACACAGCGCTGCCTTTCCCCAGGCATGGCCGTGCCTACAGCCCCAGGTGCTCCTGGTCACAACTGCTCAGGAGTGAGCAGAGCTGCACTGTCCTAGCTGGCATGCAAAGGTGGCTAGTGCCCAGCGTTTTGGTGGCTACTATGTCCCCTTACCAATATCCTTCTCACCTGGGAATTGCAGTCAGCTGTGTCTAAGAACCTGATAGCACGGTGTGACACAGCTTCTGCAGCTCCTTTTGGCAGCAAGAGTAGTGAGTGTCCTAGGCAGCCAAAGTGGTATTTGAAGCTAAATTTCTGTAGCATATTCAGGATTTGGCATTCATGAAATGTCCATCCCTGGCTAGATTTGAGTGTTGTTCTTTCTGATTAGCCTCTATTTTGCCATGGTTTGTCACATCATACTTCAGTCATGCTGTCATCATACTTCATCCTCCTGTCCTCCCTGACCCATGCAGTGATGGGAAGCCACAAGAATTGCCATAACTGATCCTACGTGAATCCTCATCGCCTTTTTCCCTTCCAGTGGCCTTGCCCTCCACCCCACGGGTAGCTGCTTTGTGTTCCCTTGCCACTGTGCAACTCTGCCCAGAGATCCCGTGAGCAGGAGCAGTGGGGCAGGTCCCTTTTCGACTACTATTTCTTTGATATATAGGTGAGTGCAGGCATGAGTGAAGTGCCGGCTGTAGTCATAGCTGGCATGACTGGGAGAGCATGTTCCCAGTAGAGGAAATTCTCACACAAAGAGCCTAGAAACCACAGTTAGGTCCCAGAGTTACTAAAATTGGAAAAAAGAGCAGTTCCTTTCTTTACATACTGTATATGGCAGAAAACGAACATGAATTGGTAAGCAGGCAGGAGTGTCGATTCCTTCCTTCCAAATATAGGGAAGGGGCCGAGCTAAGGGAAGGGGCTGAGTCTATAAAAGCTGTCAGGGAAAAAGCCCTTGTTGGTGGCTCCTGATCCCCTGGGCGTGCTCGTGGCCATGCTGTGACTAACCTGCAGAGGGGTGGAGGGCTCCTGCCACAGGTGCTGTTCCTCATGCTTGGAGCTTCGCAAGGCTGTAGCACTGCGGTGGGAAATCTGCTATAGATTCCTCGCTGCACCATTCCTTGGGTAGGGAAGGACTGGTATCTGCGGTTTACTTTGCTGGTCCTCAACTGGAGTGGTTGGTCGCAGTAAGTAAGTGAGAGGTTTTGGGCCTTCGGAGAGGCTGTAGCTTAGCTGGAGTCTGACCTTCCACTCTTTGTCTTTCAGAGATCAGAGATGTCAGCCCGTTCCTTCCTTCTTTCTGTTGACTGATTGTTAAGGTGAGAATTTAAGGCATGAGAGCTAATAGCTTGCCCAGATGGCATGAGCTGGCTCTTCCCTTGCACTCACGGTGGGAAGGTCCCCGTTCTTCCCCCTGCGTGAGCTGCTCTAACGGGCCATGGCACGTGTCTGTTCCTGCCCGCTACAGCTGCCCACCAGAGGACAAGGACAGGCTCCATGTTAAAAGGGAGTGGGGGAAATCATAAATGGAGAACTGGAAGAAAAACAGGCTTCAGGGCTTCAGTCTTTTTAAGGACTACATGAATCTGTCAGAGATCCCTCCCCTTTGCTGCACTTCCCCAGAGAGCCCTCCTGCTCCTTCGGGCATGGATCCCCTTTCCTTGGGGCCATGAAGGGTGGCAGCTCTTCTTCATTGCTTTTTTACATTCCAGCTTTGAAAGGCAAATATCTCCCTCAAGACCTTGCGGCACACATCTGAGAGATGGGAAGGGTGCTTTCAGAGCAGCCAACTTGGGAGGGCTGGGGGACGTTCAGCTCCACTCTGCTCAACTCAGGGGGACCACACAGGGGACCACCACAGCAGGGTCTGTCTTTCAGCTTCAGCCATGAGCAGAGACGCTGGCATGGAGGTTTTTGGTGAGGCTGCACCGTACCTGCGCAAATCAGAGAAGGAGAGAATAGAAGCCCAGAACCAGCCATTTGACGCCAAGACTTACTGCTTTGTGGCTGACCCCGAGGTGGAGTACACCAAAGGGAAGATCAAGGCTGCACAGGATGGGAAGATAACTGTTGAGACAGAGGATGGCAGAGTAAGTGCATTCCTCCTGGCCCTCCTCCCTGCCCTGCTGAGGGCCCGAGGACGTCTGCTAGGGAGGGCAAGGAGCACAGACAGCACTAGACTAGCTCAGGCAAGAAATCTGCCCTGCCCTGCCCTGCCCTGCCCTGCCCTCTGACTGGGACCAGCATAGCCTCCAGAGGAAAGTATTGCTCTGGATGCTGGGATGAAGGTATCCATTGGATAATTATTCTTGGATTAGGCTTTTAAAGATGAAGCAGTGCTCTGAAACAGGTTGGGTTGTAGCCTTGCCAGTCTTACTGTTCCTCAACTGATTCTTTTAACCCTTTCTCATCTAACACTGTCATATCCACTGATAAATTCCTTCCTTTACTGGTAGCAGAGCAGGCAGCTACTTTGAAAATCCCCTTTGCATGTGAAATTATCATCAGTGTCACTGGCTGCAGACAGTTTCCTAGAGGAGCCTCCAAGGTGTTAATCTTGCAAAAATGCTGAAATGTCTTAGCAGCTTGTGTCCTGATAACTTTTGTAAGAATAGCTGCAGCAGCCCAAAGAACCACCTCAACCAACATCTTGGCAGTAGGTGCTACAAGATTTTTAAGAAAGCAAATAAAGAATAAAGCAGTCATCCTTTGGTTCACCCCCAGCCTCCAGCAAACACAGGTATGTGACTAAGCAGAGGCTGCAACAGGCTACTGTGTACAAGGACCTGCCTTCGTGGGGGCTGGCTTTTTTATATCCATTCAAGCTTTTTGCCTCTGTAGTGTCCTGTGGGAAAGATTTCCACAGTTTAAAATTGGAGTATGTATGAAGTGCTTCCTTTTCTCTGCAATATGCAGCCTGGTAATTTCAGCATATTTTTTCACAAGGAGAAAAAGTGAATTATTCTTCCTTGCTATGGCCATGGTTCTCTCTGCTATTCCTGACTTTGCAGGCTTCAAAAGTGTCTCCTTTTCACCCCTAAATCCCAATCAAGTTATGCTCTCCTCTTAGAAAAGCTGTTTCATACCTGTGACCATCTTTGTGTCTCTTCTCTGGATCATTTCTGGTACAACTATATCCTTTCTGAAAGGTGTGATCAGTAATGAAGTTGTGAATGAACTGATGGACACATCCTAACACTCTCTTCTTTTCTCCCTTTCTTTTCTAATAATTCCTAATATTTTAGAGCTTCCTGCCCTCTTCTGAGCACTGAACTGACATTATGTTAGAAACCTCTATAAACCTCTAGTGACTCCCAGATATGTCCTGTGAGTAGCAGTTAATGCACAATCTCTTGTTCTATATGGAAACTTTCCTTGAATCCTAATTGCTCAAGTGTTTGAACACCTTAGAAAGGTATTTAGGGACACATACCACAAAGTTGCTTTTGAAAGCTGTGCCTGTAATTCTTGCTTTCTCAAAAGAAGCCCAAGATCATTCCACTAGTCAGGACCCAAGCTTGGAAATGGTGTTCAATCTTTCTGAATCGAATATGATTGCAGTAACACTACTTCCTCCTTGGATTGAACCAGCCTATGGGAGCAGCAATTACAGCATAAAAGCAATGGATAAAAGCAATGGGAAGAGCCATCTGGAGAAACGACAACAGGATTTTCAAGCTCCTTCATGGTTCAGCGTGGCCGAGATAAGCTGCTGCCATCTGTGTACATCTGCTTTCCTTCACATCTGCCCCCCCGCCCCCAGCATATCCACAGGCTCTGGCTGTGCGACAGGATGGTCACCCACAGTGTGAGCCAGTAGACGGTGCTATTTGGTAGAGCTAGAGCCTTTGTTTAATTAGGAATGGCAACAAGCAGAAGTGGAACAAATCTGTTCCAAGGAAGGATTTGCTGTTGATGAATCTTGTCTGTTAGTGTTCTGTCTCTCCAGCACTGTGCAGTGTGAATCTTGGAGGCTGAAAGGTAGACTGGCCAGCCGTTGTGCCCCTGGCTGTTACAGCCATGAGCAGCAGCAACCTGAAGTTCATAAGCAGCAATAATGTGTAGAAAGATCTGGTCAGCACAAATTCTGTCTGCGTTGTTGTAGCAATTCCAGGACAGTAAATTTACAACCTGTAAATTTGCCAGTGTTGTAGAGTTCCTGGCTGGCAGCAGTGTCTGCCCTGTAATAGCCATATCTTGTTTTGCACAGTTAAATAGAAAGAAGAATCTGAATTAGAGCAGCCTTACAGATGTTATTACTTCTCTGTGTTTGTGTCTCTGTGCGTACACACGGAAGGAGCATCAAGAGTTGCTGAATCAGGGTGTCCTGGTTTCCTTTTTAACTCTTTCTGAATTATAGATGGTTACTGTCAAACCTGATGATGTATATGCCATGAACCCACCTAAGTTTGACAAAATTGAGGACGTGGCCATGTTGACCCACCTGCATGAACCTGCCGTCCTCTACAACCTCAAGGACCGCTACAGCTCCTGGATGATCTATGTAAGTTCCCTCTCATGGCAAAGGAGAAAATCCAGCTGCCAGGAGACGGACTTCAGTCACTTTTCTGTTTTTTTTCTCACAGACGTATTCAGGTCTCTTCTGTGTCACTGTCAACCCCTACAAGTGGCTGCCGGTGTACAACCCGGAGGTGGTGTTGGCCTACCGAGGCAAGAAGCGCCAGGAAGCCCCTCCGCACATCTTCTCCATCTCTGACAACGCCTATCAGTTCATGCTGACGGGTGAGCTTTTCTGTTTTGACCAGACTCATAGAAAAAAACCTGTGTCAGAAACACTGCTTCTGCCACATGCCATTCCTTATCTGCCATGGGCTGAGTTGCCTTTGCCGTCTCTTACAGTGTGCTACCCCAACTCCTTGTTCTGTGTCATGTTGCAGATTATCTGGTTGGGCTCCCAGGCTCCCAACTATTGTACTTGAAATTAAATGTGCCTATTTTATCTCTAGGTGATGCAAGACCAGCTCCAGACAGTTTTCCCTGTCTCCTGAAATAGATTTTTTATTTTTGAAGTGCTGTGCTGTTGTACTGCACATTATCTGTATTTCTGGTCTAAGTACTAAGCTAAGCACCATAACAGGAACCACTGCAAAGGGCAGTTGCAGTTGGATAGGACACACTATCTGGGAAGTCCCTAGTCAGTACACCAGCACGTGGCTTCAAGCAACAGCAGATAGGTTCAGAACAGAGCTGGAAGAAATATTTTCACCAAAATAGATGGTTTTAGTTTGAATCAAGTCCTGTCCCGTATTAAATAGCAATAAAGGTAAAGAATGGTAAAGACAGAAGCAAAGAGGAGAGTGCGGAATGGAGCAAAGGTGGAGAACAGAAGACAAAAAGTGGAGTACAGGGAGGGGAAGAGAGGAGGAGAAAAAGACCATGCATCTTTTCAGTTTTGCTTGCAGAGATTGTTTCCCTTCGATGGGCGCTAGGTCATGGGTTACCTGAGAACCAGCACTTTTCCCTGCAGCTTCTCTGACTGCAGTTATTTTTTCCCTTTGACAGATCATGAAAATCAGTCTATCCTAATCACGTAAGTACATCTGTCACTTTGAACTTTGTCTTCAACAAAAAGTGGGCAGATAATTCTTCGCTCTGAACTTCCCTTTGACAGCGGAGAATCCGGTGCAGGGAAGACTGTGAACACGAAGCGTGTCATCCAGTACTTTGCAACAATTGCGGGGAGTGGGGACCTAGCCAAGAAGAAGGAGTCCTGGATGAAGGTGTGAGGAGGAAAGGCTTGGCAGAGGGGCAGTTCATGATGTTATCAACTTGTGGCTGCAGACAGCACTGGTGACAAACATTTACCTCAAAATATGAAATATCTTTTATTAGCTTCAGCCACTCTCTCAAGAGGCAGTAAGCCCAGGGGCTGATATGCAGTTAGGACCACAACAAATACAAGCCACCAGAGCTGCCACTGTTGCTGCCCAGGTGTAGCTTCACCTGGACTGAAACCAGGTCTGGGGAATTGGTGTCCAGGAAGAATTGGAAGCTCCAGTTTCTTCACACGGACCAGTCTGTCCCTGTGGCTGAGAGATGACAGCTCTGACCATGGGAGAAGTTCTGAATAAGAGAAAAATGAATGATTTGCCATTTACACACAGTGCTGGTTCTTGGCGCTGTAGTCGAGAAGATGCTGTAGTAATGCTGTACAGCTGAAATGAAGGTCACATGGTTGCACATGTAATCAGGCGAGCCGCAATATAGTCACTTTTTCCTACCACATAGCCCATGGTGTTTTTCAATAATTATTCAAATATTCTCACAGGGTACGCTTGAGGATCAAATCATCAGTGCTAACCCACTGCTGGAGGCCTTCGGGAATGCCAAGACTGTGAGAAATGACAACTCCTCGCGCTTTGTGAGTCGTTGTGTTTCTCTCTGCCCTCCTGCATTTCTAATACTGTTTACCTGCTTGTTACTTGCAACTGGGAGCCACTGGGCTGGGAGAAATGTTCTTTCTGACAAATTTCTTGGTTGTTTGTCAGATGCCAATGTGTTTACAGCTGTTTCATGCTCATAGCTGCGTGGGCTGCAACAAACTGTTCCCCTTTATCTATCTTTGAATATCTAAGATAATTCAGACTGATTTAAAGATACTTTCACTGAGATTCAAGAGAGAAAAATACTCTGGCGTCTTACCCTGAGGAATGCTGCACTGACCACTACCTTTTGTCTGCTTGCCAGGGTAAATTCATTCGCATTCATTTTGGTACCTCTGGAAAACTGGCCTCTGGTGACATTGAGACCTGTGAGTAAATGAGGTGGGCTTACTGCTTTACTGTAAAGTAAAGAAGAGCTTGAAAAATTTATACTTGCATACATATTACAGACTTGCTGGAAAAGTCAAGAGTCACCTTCCAGCTGAAAGCTGAGAGAAGCTACCACATCTTCTACCAGATCCTCTCCAATAAGAAGCCTGAACTGCTTGGTAAGGACAGCCATCAGCTGGTGACATTTTACAGTAAAATCAATATGGGAAACTTTTCCCTAAATATGCCAGCTCAGCGACAGAGGGTCCAGTGGCACCTGCTGGCCTAGCGCCATGTGTCACAAGCATCCAGCTTCCCCTTTCGGCAGGTGCCTCAGGCTGTGCAAAGCACTGAAGCTTTCATCAGGTGCTTATTTATGTCATCCACATTCCAGCATCGACGATGACTGGGTTACCAAAGCTGTACACAGCATTTTTGTCTCTGTATAATGGTGTTGCATTAGGGGTTACTCCACCTCCAATTTATCTTCCCTGGGTAAGTTCTAATGCAAACTGTGCAGGTGAGGTGCGGGGGTGGCTAATTTACTCTGCCTTACACCTTGCTGTTCTTGCTGGTGTGGAAAGTCCAACTTATATGGGCCAGATCCTGTGAATAATCTTCAATAGAAAGGTGAGAAATCCCCTGGGTGGAGGATGGCCAGATATCCTGGTCTACAAACCATCTATCTGAACTCTTCATCATATGGGCAAAAGTTCTTCCCCGCTTCCAGTAAAGCCCCTCCAGCCTTTTCCCCCTTCCCACTGCCATGGCATACCCTGCCCATGCCCCGCATCTGTCCCAAACCCTTTTGCCACACACTCAGCACTCATCCTCACTCCACTCTGTCCATCCCTCCCAACTATCCACAGAACATTTCCCAAGGTGGAGCTCCTACCCCCATCCTCCCACTATGTGCCCTCCCATCATTTACCACCTCCCTCTTCCCTTCCCAGAGGGACTGCCGTGTGCCAGGGGACTGCATGTCTGTACAAGGACACAGACAGATTTATCTTCGGTGTATGGAGGGCTTCCTCTCCTGCACACTGCACAACCCCACTGCACATCTGCACACCTTCACTTCTGCTCTTACTCTGCCATAGGATTCAGGACTGAAAATGAGTTGTGAATTTTGGCCTCAATTAGATGGAGATAAACACACATGTTTGTATTACTTATGTGCACCAGCACACACCTTGCACCCCAGCGGGTGCAAGGGGCATTCAGGATGGATTAGTATATGTCGTGTATGAGGATAAGCACGTATGAGTCTTACCTAAAAGTATCTTTCTTAGAAGCTGTTGGATGGCCCTTGTTCCTTGTCTGCCAGTGCTGAATGTTTAGCCCCCAGTTCACAGCATATTAAACTGGTAGGGCTGAGAACCTGCCTGGGACGTTCTGCTCATCCAGTGGAAAGCAAATGAATGGCTTTACTCTGTCTTTCTTGTCTCTTAATAGAAAACCAAGAGTTTGGGGATGCAGAAGGAAAAAGAGCCTGTGAAACCTTGCTGAGCCTTTATTCCATTTTCATTGCTAGGATCTGGCTCTCACTCCTTCATTTGCCTTTCAGAGATGCTCCTCGTCACAACCAACCCGTATGACTACCCCTTCATCAGCCAAGGGGAGATTTCTGTGGCCAGCATTGATGACCAGGAGGAGCTTGTTGCAACAGATGTGAGTACATTTAGCAAGGAGAGACAGTATCACTTTTACCATCACTACCATTATAATCAGCTGATCTATCCGGTGTGCAGGCAGCCATTGACATTTTGGGCTTCAGCCCTGATGAGAGAATGGGGATTTACAAACTGACAGGGGCAATCCTGCACTGTGGGAACATGAAGTTCAAGCAGAGACCATGTGACGAGCAGGCAGAGCCGGCTGGCACGGAAGGTAATACCTTCATGGCTTGGAGAGACGTATTTCCAACTGTTTTCATACCATTTTTCACTAGAAATGCAAGGAGTCTTCCAGGAAAGAAGCAGTTGTTCCTTGATGAACGTAAAAAGGAGGTACAACCTTCAACTTACCACCTCCTGTAGAGTCATTTTCTGCATCTACTTTATTCCTGATGGCTCTGCTGAAGGACTTGTGCCTGGGACATGTTACTGTAGTGTTTGCCAGTTTCTGGTAACACATCCAGACTTGTTCTGCTTGGGTGACATTGTGGAGAAGTGGCTTGAAGGGAAAAACACTTGTCCCATCACCAATGCACTCACTGGTTTTACCACACCTGTTGGGGCTGCTGTAGCCTCTCAATCATGAGGACCAGCCCTACAAGGCTGTTTGGAAAAGTAAATGAGAACGTTGGTCAAGCTTTGTAGATAGGGTAAAGCCAACCAGTTTGCCAGGTTTCAGAGTGAGCTCTGGCTTGCTCCAATGCATTCTGTCAATCCCAGCTAAGAAGAAAGTCCTTCAGCATTTTTTTTGTTTTACAGAGGCTGACAAAGCAGCATACCTGATGGGACTGAACTCAGCAGACTTGCTGAAAGCTTTGTGCTATCCCCGGGTGAAAGTGGGAAATGAATATGTCATGAAGGGCCAAACAGTGGATCAGGTGAGTGTCAGGGAGCGGCAGGGACAGTTGTCTCCCTAAGGGACAGGAGTGGGTGCAGGTCACAGCTGAGGATGGTCAGGACCATTAAGGCCTATTAGTGCACTTTGTGGGCTGACAGTATCTGTGCGTGGTGGAGGGGCTTTTTATTCTGGTGATGCACTAGCAGTGCCCTGACACAGCTGTGTGAACCATCTCCCTGCAGGTGCACCAGGCAGTGAATGCCATTTCCAAGTCAGTCTATGAAAAACTCTTCTTGTGGATGGTGATGCGCATCAACCAACAACTGGATACTAAGCTGCCAAGACAGCACTTTATTGGGGTCTTAGACATTGCTGGCTTTGAGATTTTTGAGGTTTGGTTTTACATAGCACTCTCAGACTTCTGTCTGTCTTTAAACGCTTTTTTCCTTTTGTTTGACTTTTCTGACCTTTCCTCCTCCTCGCCCCAATGCAGCCCCCAAGAACAGGGCAAATCTCTGTGAAGCTGCTTCTGCCTTTGTAGATCTATCACCCACTTTGTAAGAGAAAAGAAACAGCAGAAGCATAGGCATGAAGCTGCTGTCTCCCTCCCCACAGAATCTGTATTTAGTGACATTAGGGTCACCCAAAAACATCGCCAATGTAGGCTACATCAACCATGTGCTGCACAGCACAACTTTTCTGTAAGCCTGGACCACCCATGATATATGTTTTACGCTATTATCAAAACCCTTCAGGGATAGTCTGGCTGACCTTGCCTTGACATCTCTACGAAATAAATTGATTTGACTCAGTTTAACAATATTAACACATTTACTCAAATATTAGTTCAACAGCTTTGAGCAGCTGTGCATCAACTTCACCAATGAGAAACTGCAACAGTTCTTCAACCACCACATGTTTGTGCTGGAGCAGGAGGAGTACCAGAAGGAAGGAATTGAATGGACATTCATTGACTTTGGGATGGACCTGGCGGCCTGCATTGAGCTTATAGAAAAGGTGAGTTTCTTACACAGCTTGTGAGTAAACAAATCAGATCTGGAAGGGGTTCTTGAGAGTCCTTGCACTGAGTGCCTTCAATACACTCTCTCTGTGAAGCTTCCAGATCTGCTTACCTCCTCCCTTCCTTTAAACATAACCCTTGTGATTAATTATCCACTGAGTGGAAATGTATTCTGCCTTCTAAAAAGACATTGCTTTTATTTCTCTGTTCTGTCTGTCTTCGACATCATTATAAATTGTCATTTCATTGTCATATTTACCCCAGTTGTCTTCTGTCTTTGCATATTGGTTCCTCCTCAGGTTTTCCTCTCAGCTAAATTCAAATGTTAGAAAGCCTCATGTCTGCTTGCTTTTTCCTCCTTCTGGATAAAGAGAAGTCACTACTGTATTCCAAGAAGTTAGTGCACAGTTTTTGCTTGGCTTGCTTTGTTTTCCAGCCAATGTCTGGGTAGTTCACCTATTTATGAAAATCTGGTGCTTTTGAATATTTTGCTAGCTGTTCACAAAAAATCTTGCTTACCTGCTCCTCCCAAGCTAATTCTCTATAGAATACCTCCAGTACTTTAATTTTAGCATTTCTTTCATTCCATATTATTATAACTTGAATTCATCTTATTTGAAAACACCTTATTTCTATTCAGCCTATGGGCATCTTCTCCATCCTGGAAGAGGAGTGCATGTTCCCCAAGGCAACTGACACCTCTTTCAAGAACAAGCTCTATGACCAGCATCTGGGCAAGTCCAACAACTTCCAGAAGCCCAAACCTGTCAAAGGCAAGGCTGAGGCCCACTTCTCCCTGGTGCACTATGCTGGCATGGTGGACTACAACATCTCTGGCTGGCTTGAGAAGAACAAAGACCCCCTGAATGAAACTGTTGTGGGGCTGTATCAGAAATCATCTATGAAAATTTTATGCAGTCTTTATGCCACCTTTGCTTCCATGGATGAAGGTAAGATCAGAGGATTATGTCTCCTGTCTGGTGTTTCCAACTGTAGCTATCACCTGACTCGAATCAGTGTTGAGTCAGTATTTGTGCTGTATGTATTAGATGCATGATTATAATGCTGTCAAAGGGATCTACAGCAGTACCTCAGTTGGACTGTCATCTCATTTTCCAGCTGAAGGTGGTGATATCAAGAAGAAAGGAACCAAGAAAAAGGGCTCTTCTTTCCAAACTGTCTCTGTACTCTTTCGGGTAGGTGTGTTCTCTGGCGCAGCATAGGCCAGCTGCAGAAAATGCCGAGAAGGCAATCCTGTCAGACCTGTCTGCACTAGTTCACCTTTCCCACTTTCTCTGTTGCCATACGATACTGTGGAAAGTTACCTTTGGGCTTTGGTAAAGGTTAATTTGAATTCTGCTTTGCTCATGAGGTCGAATAGGATGATGGTGGAGAAGGGAAGGCATGTGCTTTGATCAGGTTGCACCGTTTCAAGACAGCCTAAAGGCTTTGGGCATCCTTCCCCTATTTGGCTGTAATTGGCCTCTTCCAGGATGTGTCTCTCTGAGTACAGGGCATTGTGTGGCAACTAGTGCCTTGCAGTCAGTGTGGGCAACACAAATTACATGTTGCAGCCCCTTGATGCTGCTGTGACCCATCTATATCCTGGGGCCAGGAACAGGCTCAGCCCTTCCTGACAGGATGAGGAGTGCAACATCCATCTGGCTGTGACGTGGGGCATACTCAGAGTAGGTCATTATTGCATGAGATGATTAAAGAAATGCAATGCTAACAAAAACTGTTCTGCAGAGCAGATGACGTCTGATGCCATAGACAAACAGGGATTTTGTGGCTCAATTCTCTTTTAAATATACCTAACTAATATATCTAAGTAATAAAAACAAATCAACCCATTAATTCATTTGATCAACAGCTCATTTGATCAAGAAAGACCACTATTGGTATCCCAGAATATTGTTCATTTCTTTCCGTCCTCATCATGTTTAATAGCTCTTATGATTAGCTTCTAACCACTAAGGACACATCTTCATTTTAAGACAGGTGGAAAGTTTATCAGTTGTATGCACTGTTAGTAGCTATTTACTTTGCTGATGCCTATATAGGATTGTAGAATATTCACTAGAAGAGTAAGGAAAAACTTCTGAATTTTTATTTTTCATCAGAGTCAAATCATATTGAGAATATTTGCATTATGTCTTGCAGTAATATAGAGATTGCAAATGATCTCTTTTTTACAGGAAAATCTAAATAAGCTGATGTCCAACTTGCGAACAACTCATCCTCATTTTGTGCGTTGTATCATTCCCAATGAAACAAAGACCCCAGGTAATTCATAAAACATAGATTAGAAATTGGCAGAAAGACCAATTGACCAATGCTAGAAAAATCAATATATCCCCATGTTGCTCTGTCACAGGCCTGATGGATCACAAGCTTGTTCTGCACCAGCTGAGATGTAATGGTGTTCTGGAAGGCATTCGAATCTGCAGGAAAGGATTTCCTAACAAGATATTATATGGGGATTTTAAACAAAGGTCTGCAATAACATTCTTGTGTTTGCATCAAGCCCAATTCATTTGAGAGAAGAGTCTTGCTAAACAAGTCAATGATATAGTTCTTAGGAAAAGACTATTTTAATATTTAACAACTATAGAAAGTATGAAGACATATCTAATAGCAGGGTCTGTGTGGGCAGTGCCCACCCAAGTGCCTTCCTGAATACTGTATGCCAAAACCTATTTTCACTTCATTTATGTTCAGCTGAATGTTTGGGTATTCTTTGCTTAAATTCCCAAATTTGACACAAGCATGTTTCAGCAAAAATATGTAGGGTGGTCTATATCACATCCTATATTCAACCACTATCTAGTAGAAGTTTGAAGATTGTTTAAAGAATTCTGACTAGAATGGCTTTACTGAAAGGAAATGGTGTTAAACCTGATACCACTTTTTTGATGAAATTACAAGCTTGAGTGGCTAATGTAGCTACATTAACAAATCAGACTTCAGCAG